GGGCAAGTTCAACTTGGGAGCCAGGCTATAGCACTAAGCCAAGATATGGTTGCATCAGAAGAAATTGAAATACTAAACAGAATAGGGCAATAATTGCAAAACCTTTCAGCACTGAATGCCAAAAACTGAGTGTGCATGCGCTTATTGGGGCCATATCTAGGAAGAGGAGTTGCCCAGGGGGCATGCATGGATTGGAAAATGAACTCCTAGTTTCCAGCACGCGCTTGTGTGGTGACCAGCTAGTCTTCTGGTTATTGGCTTGCATGTGCGTGTGACAATCAGCTGGTCAGCGTGTATGCTCACCCTGGAAAATGAAAGACCAACTCTTCCAGTTTCTGGCACTGCTGCACACACGAAGACCAGCTGATCATCGCCCACACATGCACACCAGAAACTTGGAAGAGGAATGGGTCATGTCATGCATGCCAGGAAAATGGCTTCACGTGCCTTAGGTTCACTATTACGGGAATAGAGGTTTAGGTATTGAACTTGTCTGGGAAATCCAGATTCAAATCTGTCCTCAGTCATAATTGAAAGTATCATTTTTGTTTGATGCAGGTATCATTGATATTTGGCAGGTATCACTTAAGAAGAAGTGTTCCCTTCTAAACTAATATTAACTAAAGCTAATGCTTGCAATCAGCAATTTGAATAAGGATTTGAATCAACTTACTGTACATCCTTATACGCTCATCTCAGTTCAGTAAGAAGATTTTTGAGTTCATTTTTAGCTCAGGTTTTTTTTATCAGTGAACATAAGTAATTCACTTAAAATCTGCAAGGTGAATACGTTGCTTTGAACAAACTGTACTTAACTGAGAGTGTTGAAAGAAACTTAGAATTAAATGTTCTATCCCATTTAAAAATTAGGCAGGTTGAATGGGAAGCATAGGAGAGAGAGAGAGATGAGTCATCCCATCTCCCTAGAACTGAGTCTTTCTATCCAGAATTAATACAGTTAATGCAAACGAATACAGAGTTTATGCATATGTAACACCCACACATATTCAGTTTTCTCCACCATTTTCCCATGCCCCTAAGGTCACCTTCATTTCTGCAAAATAGTTAGTTTTGAAACAGATGGAATTTAAACTTTTTATCAAACATAAAAATTCAAGTTAGGTGCAAGAAGGTCAGTTATCACATTCAAATTAAGTGCAAAAGAGTCTGTTTCCTTAAACTACAAGTTCTCTAGGAGCCTAGAAAAGAAATTAACAGTACGGGAGTTTTATGCAAGTGTGAAAAAAGCAGTTGATGAAGATGTGAGCATTTGCAGTTAACATTTTCAGAAGAACTGCATTCAGTTGGAAGTTAAGCTGTCCTGTCCACAAATGTTAATATTAGCTAAATTTCCAGCGTTACAAGTCTTATTCTGTCATTAACTAAGAACATTTTAAACACATTGCATCAATTTTTCATTTCTGTTTTGTTTTAGTATATTTGAGTGTGTTTTTCTGGATATGTGAGGGCACAGGGGAGGAACAATTAATTCAAATGGAGATTATAAAGCACTATGTGTGTGTATAT